CTGTCTAAAAAGTTGAAGAAAAATAAAAGCCTATTTAACATTTATTATCCTTTATTTTTTTAAAAAAAGGTTTTATTTATTTCTTTGAGAGAGAGACAGAAATAACAAGTGGAGAAGCAGGGTCCCCATGTGGGGCTCAACTCCAGGACCCTGGGATCATGATCTGAGCTGAAAGCAGACGCTTTGCCGACTGAGCCATCTAGGCACCCCTTATTATTCTTTTAAAAAAAGTATTATTTTTTTTAAGATCTTATTTATTTGAGTGAGAGAAAGCAAGCAACAGAGCAAGAAAGCAAGAGGAAGAGGAATCATAGAGAGGGAGAAGTAGGCTCCCCATTGAGCAGAAAGCCCGACATGGGGCTTGATCCCAGGACCCTGAGATCATGATCCCATCTGAAGGCAAACACTTAATTGACTAAGCCACCCAGGTGCCCCCCAAAATATATTGTTCTTAAAAGAAAAAATACTGTGTGACTTCTCCACTTAAAAACCTTTAGCTCCCAATTCTAGGGGTTTAGCATACCATAGAGGTTTTCAAAAGTTGGTCCCCATCTACCTCTTGGATTTTATTTCCTACTACTTTTTGTTCACTCTATATAAGTATAAAAACATGACAAATAATACTATATAAAAACTTTCAGGAGACAAACACCAAATTCAAGGCACTGGTTATTTCTGGAAAGGAGAGAGGATACTAGGCTAGGGACCAGTGTGATTTCAACTATATCTGAGATGATTTTAAAATGATGATGATAATAATAAAAATACTAATTAAACAAAAATCTAAAAGCAAATATGATAAAATGTTAATATTTGACAAAAAGCTAAGTGGTACGTAATAAGGAGTGCTTTTTTAATTGTTCACTATACTTTTCTATTTGTTTAAAACAGGGATTGACAAAATACTCTGAACCAAATCTGGACCACTACTTGTTTTTTAAGGCTTGGGGCTAAGAATAGTTTTATATTATTAAAGGGTTGTTAAAAAAAAAAAAAGACTATGTGACAAAGACCTTGTGACCTTGCAAAGCCTTAGATATTTACATCTGGCACTTTATAGAAAACATTTGCCAACTCTTGATTTAAAATATTCCTAAGAAGCAAAGATTAAAAAAAAAAAAAGAACAAGCAGGAAGGCGACTGAGTCAAAGATGTGTTTATTTTCTTGCATGAAGTATCTTTAGGAATTAGACATTTTATATTACCTTTCTCTTTAAATTAGCTTTTCACAAATTACTTTCTAAACTTTTATCAAGATGAAATCTCATCAGGGCAGCGGGTGGCTCAGTGGTTTAGCGTCAACCTTTGGCCCTGGGCCTGATCCCGGAGACCTGGGATTGAGTCCCACGTCAGGCTCCCTGCATGGAGCCTGCTTCTCCCTCTGCCTGTGTCTCTGCCTCTGTGTGTGTGTGTGTGTGTGTGTGTGTGTCATGAATAAATAAATCTTTTTTTTTTTTTTAAAGAAGAAATCTCATCAAATTTTATTCTAGTCTGCAGTACCTGGGTCGCTCAGTAGGTTAAGCATCTGTCTTCAGCTCAGGTCACAATTTCAGGATCCTGGGATGGAGCCCTACATTGCACTCTCTGCTCAACAGGGAATTTGCTTCTCTCTCTCACTTTCCCTCTCAAATAAATAATAAAATCTTAAAAAAAAATTATTCTATGATGAGACTTATTTAAAAGAGTGATGGGACAGCTTTTTTTAAAAAAATTTGTGTTTAAATTCAATTTAGTTAACATATACTGTATTATTAGTTTCATGGGTAGAATTTACTGATTCATCAGTTGCATATAACACTCAGTGCTCATTACATTAAGTGTCCTCCTTAATGCCTATCATCCAATTATCCCATCCCTGTTCCTACTTACCCTCCAGCAACCCTCAGTTTGTTTTCTAGAGTTAAGAGTCTCTTATGGTTTGCCTCCCTTTGTTTTCATCTTATTTTATTTTTCCTTCTTTTCCCTATGTTCATCTGTTTTATTTCTTAAATTCCGCATGAGTGAAATCATATGGCACTTGTCTTTCTTCGACTTATTTCACTTAGCATAATAGCCTCTAGTTCCATCCACATCCTTACAAATGGCAAGATTTCATTCTTTTTGATGGCTGAGTAATATTTCAGTGTGTGTATGTATACTACTTCCATTCATCTGTTGATAGACATTTGGGCTCTTTTCATATTTTGGCTACTGTGGACATTGCTGCTATAAACATTGGAGTTCACGTGCCCCTTCAAATCACTATTTTTGTATCCTCTGGATAAACACCTGGGAGTGCAATTGCTGGATCATAGGGTAGCTCTATTTTTAACTATCCAAGGAATCTCCATACTGTTTTCCAGAGCGGCTGCACTAGTTTGCATGCCCACCAACAGTGCAAGAGGATTCCACTTTCTCTGGGAGAATCTTATGACTTTTTGATCTTAGTCCATACTTGTGAAAAAACTGAAAAGTAATAGAGCCCAGTGTGGGATTTTTAGTTGGGCATACTTAGATTGGGAAGGTTTCAGGGGGAACTTGCTCATGAGCTGTCAGCTAGGGACATAGAAAAGGTGTTACATAGGACTTAAGTCTTGGCCTCAGGTTTATAATTTCTATTTTCTGTAGCTCACCTCCTTTAGAAGAATTTTTTCCCCTTTTTTCACAGAAGGGTTAAATAAAATTCAAAACACTGTATTAAAGTAAGTTTCTGGTTATAATGATTGTTATACATTGGAATAGGCCAGCAGAGAAGGTGAGCATTTTTTTTTTTTTAATGAGCAGACAGGTTATTGGGGGGAAAATAGTGGGATAATACATCTAAATGTGTTAACATGCCTTAGCTCAGAAGAATGGTTAGTTCTTATATTACCATTTTGAGATTGTTATATAGATATTTTCTTTTTTTTCTTAAAGATTTTATTTATTTTATTTATTTATTTATTCATTCATTCATTCATTCATTCATTCATGAGAGAGAGAGAGAAAGAGAGAGAGGCAGAGACACAGGTGGAGGGAGAAGCAGGCTCCATGCAGGGAGCCTGATGTGGGATTCAATCCCGGGTCTCCAGGAGCACATCCTGGGCTGAAGGCGGCGCTAAACCGCCAAGCCACCTGGGTTGCCTGTATAGATATTTTTTTCCTTTCTTTTTTTTTTTTTAAGATTTTATTTATTTATTCATGATAGTCACACACAGAGAGAGAGAGAGAGGCAGAGACACAGGCAGAGGGAGAAGCAGGCTCCACGCAGGGAGCCCGACGTGGGATTCGATCCCGGGTCTCCAGGATTGCGCCTCGGGCCAAAGGCAGGCGCCAAACCGCTGTGCCACCCAGGGATCCCCTGTATAGGTATTTTCTTAAAAAATATTAAGCATGTCAGTATCGCCTGTGTGCGTGAAAGCATTTTTTCTTATTTTGGTAACTAATTTCCAGTTTCTTACCCTCAGTATTGTCCAAATTAACTAAAGATATTACCAATTGTGAATCAGTGAATAAGGAGACTCACAGAAATTTCACCTAAATGCTCAGTGAATGTTTGAGATTATTTAGATCCAAATCATCATTTTATAACCTTCAGTATGTATATTTTTAAACTTAAGTGCTTGTCTCTGGTAACTAAAAATGTGGGCAAAACAGCCACAAAATGAATACAACATAAAAATTATTCATGGTGGGGATCCCTGGGTGGTTTAATTTACTACGTTAAAGATATACAGAAAGTCATAAAAATAATATGAAAAAATACTTATGATCAACCACTAGATTATGAAATTATTAACACTACTAAGGTTCCTTGTACATCCTCAGTTCCACCTCTCTTCTTTCCCCAGGGATTAATCATCATTCTGAATATTGTATTTTGTATATCCAGGTATTTCTCTTTTTGCTTTTTGTCCAATGTACATATCTCTAAATAATTTATATCATTTTACAACTTGTTTTGTTAATTCGTTTTATGTTTGAATTCATACATGTTGACATGTATGGTACATCATTCATGTGATGGAGATAGTGCTCACCAAGTATATTCTATATGCTTCGTAGCTTTTTGGCTGGAATAACTGGACTGTGAGTAGAAGGGAAGTGTGGTACATGTGGGAATAAGGCAACATCGCTTTTGTCCCCTTCCTCAGTGAACTCACAAGCCATATATTCCAGATGGAGCAATGGGGCAGCTGCAGGAACACGAAGCATCTATCGCCTTGGGGCCCTGAGTGAGGTGGAGTGGAGCTTATCACCAGCTCACGTAAGACATATAAAATGAACAAGAAATAACTGTTGTGCTAAGACATATACACAAATGGGAAGATAACTGCCTTTCTGGGATTCTTGTTAAAGCAATACTATCAGTAGCAGAATAGATTCATAGCCTTTTGAAAATACTACTATCCTATGACCCCAGATTGATATTTTTTTCTACTTGCATGAAGAAGAAAATTTCATACACTCTAGTCTTTACCTTCTGTGAAGACCCTATTGCACTAAAAATACCTTCAGAGAAGGGCCTACATGTTTATGAACTGTTTCTGGTATGTTTTGTTTCCCTAACTAGATTTTAAGGTCTTTGAAAAATCATGTCCTTTTTTTTGTATCCTACACTGCACCTTATAGTCTACACATGTATGTATTAATGACTGGTCTACTGGTTGATTGGGGAGGATGAGGCTAATTTTAAATGCCTAGTTTGTGTAAGGCAACTTGCTTGCATTCCACATAAGTTGATCGTTGATCCTTAAAATTTCCATTATATAGATGAGGATATTAAAGCTAAGTAACTTTCCTCTGGTCACAGAGCTAGGAATAAGATGAAACATGTGAAGAGGACAGTGGAAATCAGTCAGCCTGACACAAAAGCCCTTATTTTTTAGATTTTTCACTGAACTGAATGAAATCATACCTATCCAGGGCAGGAACTTTAGAAGAACATAAAATAGCTAACAAATAGTTTTTGTTTATAAGTTTTGCACACATTAAATAATTTCTTTAGATATTTCTCAGGACTCAAGATTGTTGGGTCTTACCTTGATCACCTCTGGAGTCTGCTGAATCAAAACCACTGAAGTAGTATCTTTGGCTTTATCACCAACAGGACTTCTACAGACTGATAAATTGGCCTGGGAGGAAGTTGTCAAGGTTTCCTGTAGAATCTGCATCATTTCCTTCTCTTGTGACAGGCTCCCTCTGCCTGATTTGCACTCAACTAGTTCTTGAGCAAAGTCTTCAATGCTTTCTAGAATTCGCAGTAAGAGGACTCGATCCTCTTCTTCTATTTTGTGTCCATTGGTTTCAATGATCCTTGTTAGACAGGAAGGGGAGACTTTTTCGGTGGGTGAAGAGACTTTAGATTTAGGCTCAAGATCTATAGGAAGCTGATCAGTCAATGGATTATGGGTATTTAGGGAGTTAGAGCTTTTACCTTTGGCAAGTGGCTCTCTTAGAGAGGTCTCCATTTTCTGTGAAAATGATTCCAGATCCATTAACAACTTATCTATCTCTTCCTGACTATTAGGATTCATAAAATCTCTGTGGTCTCTCTCTTCAACTTTAGGAGCTTTTAATTTAAGATCTTCCTCAGGTAGGTTAACTGATTTCTCAAATATCTTATCACTTTCATTTTGCACTGAGGCAGGATATTTTTTAAGAGGAGTACCACGGTCTGAAAATTCTGCTCTATCTTCATTTACCTTTAACAAATCCTGACCGGGTCCATTCTCTGTCCTTTGTCCTTTATCCAATGCTTTCTTTCCATCTAACTCTTCTTCAATATAAAGGGTTTCCATTAGGTCACTAGAAGAAACATTTTCTAAAGAATTCATGGTTAATGACTGTGATTGAAGCTGGGCATCTTTTACAGTTCTGGGATCATTTATCTCAGAGTTATATAAGGGATTTGTAGAGTTGTTTGGAATGGATTTTACTGCGTCTGTTTTCCTAGAACTGTGTTTGTCATCTTGCAGTGCTATAGTTTGAAACTGTCCAGAGTCAGGGGCTGAAAGTTGGACAACATCTTCATATTTAGGGGGCTGTTCAGTGCCAAATACTGGGGAAAAGGGAGTCAGTTGTAAACTGGGTATATTGCTGACCAGTTCTGTTAAATCTATAGCCTCATTATTCCCAGGCTGCATGAATTCAAATGGTAGCTTTTTCAGATAGGATGCTAACCTAGTCATTACATTCACATAGACAGTATCAGAACTAGAAATTGCATCATTGCCATTTCCTTCGTTGATGCTACTCCCTGACTTCTTCTTTATGCATTGTTTTATGATATCTGTACATTTTTTCAAATCCTCAGAGCATTTCAGCAAGATGTCCAAGCACATCTTTATGTCTGTTCCAGAAGAAAAATTATCTATCTTATGTTTTTCCAAAATCTGAGTAACCAGGTCTTCTTCAGAGAAGTTGTGAAGAAGCAATGAAGTTAGGTTTGTATCAAGTGAGTTTCTATGGGACAAAGATTTTTCCTCAACTGAGGAACTCCGGAGTAAACCAAAGGATGGAGAGTTCCCATCATTGTTATAATGGCCACAGAGCAAGTCAAAATCAACTGACCTCCTATTAAATGAGTCAGACTTAACTTTTCTTCCCTTTTTGTAAGCTGCATGGTTAGAGTTTTTGAGCTTTTCAAAGGAAAATTCTTTTATTTTCCCGCTGGCAAAACTGATTGCTTCTCCTGCAATGTCCTTTAAGTTACAGGTGTTCTGAAAGGTAGATCCTTTCTTGACCCTGGGAATGCCTGCGAGGGCCTGCTGGTGATAGTCACCCTCGGCTGAAGAAAACCCATTCTCATGGGGTAGAAACATAGAGTCCAGATCTGCATCTTTAAACTGAGACACAGGGATGTGCAAGAGGTCTGCACAAACACTATGATGTACCACAATGCAATCAACTCCATGTGTAAAGGTATGACAGGTTCCAGTGCAATAATGTATAGCTTGCTCAAAACGCCTGTCTATCACCACACTGCTGTAGTGGTTCACAGTACTGACCACAAGTCTGTAAGTTGCTGCCATAATATCGAATCCACTCAGTGATATGAGTCGGAATTTTCTAGAACTTATTTCAAGTAAATTCTCCTAACTTACACACTCAGCTGAAAATATACTTGATGGCAATGTTCCGTGGTTTCTTGCAAATATAATGACACTTCCCCCAAAGAAAAACCATCTAAATTTGAGGTTTGGTAACTGTTGGGATACAGTAGCTACTGCACATGTCTGCTTGAATTAGGAAGTCTAATAATTTAATAATTGTCCTCTTTAGTTTTATTTAGTAATATCATGATACTGTAGTGTTTTTATAATATAAAATCCTCTTTCAGTCCTCCAGCAATTCTATGATGCAGAAATTTATTGTCATTAATTTATTGTCATAAATCCTAGTTGGTAGTATAGAAGTACTGTGATAACTGAATCCGCCAAAGAATTAAATGATCCATTGTTTTGTGAATGAAACCTGTAATGAAAAAAGAAAACAATTTTTAAAATATGATTTCTTAATCCTGAGGAAACCTTTTATTTCCTCTTTTGCATCCCACATGCAGTTAGACACCAAGCTGTATTCTTTGCCACATTACTGCATATCTTTGCTTCATGTCTTTATTTCATCAAGCCCCACACTCCTTACTACCTGGATGGAGTATTTACTACCTCCACTTTGCCTTGTTACAACTGCCTCTCTGTTGGTATTTCTTATCCTGCCCTCCTTGCCATCTTTCATGACATCAAAAAGCTTAGATTCAGACAGGTTTTTTAATCCCTCAGAGTTCAAGAATTCATACTACTGATCTCCATCATGCATCCTACCTCTTTTGACTTATTTTCAAGACTTTCAACATCCATTCCCATCCACCTACAACCTTATTTTGTGCTACTGTTCTGCACCAAACTTTTGCTTATATCCCATCAACCTAATCTCAAAGATTGTCAACACATAGTACTTGTTCTTGATTCTACACTTCCTCTGTACTTGGAGATTATTCTCCCATCATATTTTTTCTTACTACCTAAGAGAGAGAAACAACCTTTATTACTGCCCTTGATCCTATCCTCTCAGATACTACCACATGCAGAGTCCTCTCGTCACCAAGTGAATAGAATTTAATCATCCTCTTTAAAAAAACAAAACAAAACAAAACAAAAAAGCTTTTAAACCATATTGTAGTTGCTTTCTAAAAAGGTTCAATCAATCTACTCAATAAATGAGTGCCTACTTGTGCCAGGCACTTGTTAAGTGATAAGGATACAGCAGTGAATAAAATATAGTCCCTGTTCTTATGGAGCTGATAATCTGGTAGTAAAATGAAAAACAAGATGCATGTAAACATTTAACTTAGATGGTGACATAAGCTCTAGAAAAGTCAAACAGGGCAGGGATTCAGAAAGAATGAGAGGAGCTGTGTTATAAAGGGTAGTCAGGGAAGATCTTACTGATATATGAGCAGAGACTTGAAAGAAGAAAAGGAACAGGCTGTGGACGTATTTTGGGCAAAATCATCTCGGGCATAATAACCATAAGTGCAAAGGCCCTGAGGTGGGAGTATGCTTGAGGAGGCTACAGTGATTAGAACAGACAAAGCAAGTGGGATAGTGTGGGAGGTGAGGTCAGAAAGAAAAGGCAGAAGTCTAAATCATGCAGGATCTGCTGCATGAGCTGGGAAACAACTGATGGCTACTGAGCAGGGGAATGACATGATGATCAGACTTAAATTTTAAATTGGTAATTCTGGCTGCTGTGTTCAGAGGAAACTATGAAGGAGCAAGATAAAAAGCAGGGAAGAAAATTAGGGGCTATTGCAATAAATCAGGCAAGAAGGCCTGGGGGCTTGGACCAGGATATAGTGTAATAGTGGAGAAGTTTAGAGCCAAGAGGATTTGTTGAAGGATAGATGTGCGATATTACCAAATCAAGAATGATGCAGTAAAGCAATGAAAGGATCCTTCAGAAGATGACTGAAACGAGAGGAGAGCATCAATTTCACTAAATTTCGATGGCAGTGAGATTTTAATTTTTTTTTAATTTTTATTTATTTATGACAGTCACACAGATAGAGAGAGAGAGGCAGAGACACAGGCAGAGGGAGAAGCAGGCTCCATGCTCCGGGAGCCCGACATGGGATTCGATCCCGGGTCTCCAGGATTGCGCCCTGGGCCAAAGGCAGGCGCTAAACCGCTGCGCCACCCAGGGATCCCTCCAAATGTTCTTTGATGGTCTTCCAGATGAATTTTTGAATAGTCAAGTTTTAAGAAAAATTTTATTGGAATTTGATTCCAATTGCAACGCACTTAGGAATTATTTTGAAGCACTGATATCATTATAATATTCAGATTTTCTACCCAGGAAAATAGTAAATCTTAATTCCAATATTCCTGTATTTCTCTCTTTGTGGTTTTCCTCAGGTGGGTCACTCCCTCATTGTTCTTGTCCTTCAGTGTCCTAACTTTGTTGCTACATGAATGGATCTGGAGCTACTGTGTCATGCTCTACTTCCTCGCCTTCAAATCTCAGATGGTGGCTCATATAAGACTATAAAACTAGATCTCACTAAGGATAAAACTGAAGCAGAAAGAAGTTTCATACTAAAGGAAGTGCCCAGTAATTTGGAACTGAAAATGCAAAGGAGCCAAAGAGGAATTTGTTGGTATGGGACAAAATACTGGAACATGGCAATAGAAAGAATTACCTTTCCAAAAGATGCACAAGAGACAGGGAAGAAATAGCACCAAACATGAAAAACTATACACCTTTTCAGAAATCCAAAATTTGGAAGAGCTTTTGGGTAAGGATAGAAGGAAAGAAAAATAAAGGATATTTCTAAGAAAGTACATGAGTATAACTATGTGAGGGATATTAGGACTATATACTAATCCAGTTGTTAATAGAGGTGATAAAACTGGTGCAAAGGCAAAATACATGAGTGTTAGAAAATTTAAATATTCAGACACATATGAAAACGTGATAAACTCCTAAATTAACATAAAGACTATTTTTTTAACATAAAGACTATTTTATTTCTCTGAAATTTGAGAAATTATAAAGGAATTCTCTAAGCTTGGATATAACCAAAACAACTAATTTATAAGGTAACATGACAAAAAATACAAGTATTCATATGATACTAGAATTTGAAATAGTTATGAAAGAGAGAACATTGGCCAAAGTCAGACATATGCTTTTAGACCAGGGCTGACCTATAAAACATTCTGTGTTGATGGAAATATTCTATATGTGTTCTGATATGGCTACCATTAGCCACATGGGGCTACTGAGCACTTTAGCTGTGGCTAGTGCAACTGAAAAGCTGAATTTTAATTTTATTTTAAAAGTTTAATTTTGGAATTATTTTAGATGCACATAGAAGTTGTAAAACTAGTACAGAGACCATCTGTGTACTCTTCCCCTAATTTCCTCCAAAGATAACATCTTATATCAATGGGATGCCTGGGTGGCTCAGTGGTTGAGTGTCTGCCTTTGGCTCAGGGTGTGATCCCACGGTCCGGGATGGAGTTCCACATCAGGCTCCCTTCGAGGAGAATGAGCCACCTGGGCTGCCCATGATTTGAGTTTTTTATAAACATGCCGAAGAAACCAAGGTTACTTCCCTGGTATTTGGTTCAGAACTGTGAGTGTCAAATTCTGCCTTTTTAATTTAGACCATGATTAACTGATGCCCAGTTGTTCTGGAATCCTAGACATGGAATCTAATCCAACTAGTCTCAATCAGAGATAGATCATAATCTGTCTAATTCAGAACCCCCATGCTATCTTGTGTTTCTAAGATAAGGCAGGCTACATGGGTTTGAATCCCTACCCTGCCACTTACAGCTGTGTGGCCTTACATAAGTTGGTTAACTCTGTCAGCCTGTTTCACCTGTAAAACATAGATAATAACACTACCCATTTCATGAGAATTAAGTGAACATGTCAAATGCTTAAAACACAAGAAAGGCTCAATCACTGTTAGCTGTTATTGGTATAATTCACTCATCAAACAATTTCTGCTCTGAACCAGGCCCATAATAATTCATTATTATGGCCCCGAGTGTACCTACTATTTGAGGACAATGAGAGAAGCAAGCACAGTGGGAATCAGGAGCACTAGGGTAGAGCTTCTATTTTTCCTCATTTGCTCTTACAATTAATATACATTCTTTTCAGAAAAATTAGAAAATGTTCTTAAGTAAAAAACATTTTAATTATCTGTATCATCATTCAGAAATAACCAGTTAATATTTTTATGGATATGTATCCTGACATTTTCTTATGAAAATTTATAAATGTATATATTTTTTTAAAAAAAGTTTAACCATACTATGGTTAAAATTTACTTCAAACTAGCAATAAATATCTCATGAATATAATTCCATGTCAGGAAAGATCTAGATCATTTATTTTTTAGATTTATTTGAGAGAGAGACCATAAGCACACAGGAGTGGGAGGGGCAGAGGAAGAGGGGGAGAGAACCTGAAGCATGCTCCATGCTGAGCGCAGAGCCTGACCAGGGCTTGATCTCACCACCATGAGTTCACAATCTGAGCCAAAACCAAGAGTTGGACACTTAACTGACTGTGACACCCAGGTGCTCAGATCTAGATCATTTTAATGAACATACAATATTTTACCATAAGGATAAAATAATTCAGCCATCTACCACTGCTACACAGGTTATTCACTATGTTTTTGTTTTACAATAAACAATGATAAACATTCTTATACATATTACACAGATGTCTAGTTATTTTCTTAGGATATGTTTCAAGTAGTAGAATGCTGAGTCAAAAGGAGTGTGTATATGTATGCATACACATTTTTTATTTTTATTTTTTAAAGATTTTATCCATTTATTCATGAGACACACAGACAGAGGCAGAGACACAGAGAGAGAAGCAGGCCCCATGCAGGGAGCATGACATGGGATTCGATCCCGGGATGCCAGGATCACGCTCTGAGCCAAAGGCAGGCGTTAAATTGCTGAGCCACCCAGGGATCCCCCTGCATACACATTTTAAGGGTTCTTTGATATATAAGGTCAGTCTTTCCTCCAGATAATGATAAATTTCTACTTCCAACATCAGGATGCAATCAGACCCATTTCTCCATTTTCTCCTTGAGTGATACCACCCTTTAAATCTTTGCTAATTTGATAGATGAAAAAAGGAAGTGCATTATTTTAGATTGTGCCTAAACATGTTTATTTACTTCATAGACATTTTGTTTTCATTTGTGAAGGCTTTCTTCATACCCTTGGCCCATTTTGAAAGAGAGCATCCAAATTAGACTAAAGAGTTAGGAAAGACTTCCCAAAGTACAGAAGTATGTACCTAGGTTTGAAGGACCAATGAAAATTAGACAGAAAGGAAGGGAAGAATACTCTAGGCAGAGGGGAACACATAGGTGAAGACTCAGAGGCCTAACATGGTACAGGTGAGTTCAGAACTATAAGCAGTTTCAGCTG